AAAGGGCTTGTACTGGAAAGACTCTAATCACATGCAGAGGCAGGTGCACTTCTGAGCATGCTCACTTGGAAGTCATGCATCTTCATATGTCACATGTTCAAAAATGACTGATAGGAACACTCATCCCCTGGGTGGAGGTTTTAACATTATATTGAGATTATAATGAACAATGTTCACTCTAGGTTACCTGGAAGAGGGCCTGTGAGGCCTTGGCTGGTTTAAACCAGTTTCTTGTGGTTTTCTCTGGAGGGCTTCAACGGAAACATACCAAACAAACAGAAAGCTTGAAAGGAATACTAATAGTCATCTGAAGGGGCAGCAGCTCCCCTGTCCAATATAGGTGATTGCCCCTAAAACTAACTGCATAGCTGCTAACAGAACTTGAACTTGAGTTTCTTTTTTTTTTTTTCCTGTAGCTGATGTCATGCTCTTTTGACACTTGTGCTGAGTCTATAGCAGTCCAATGATTTTCTTTAGAACATAAGGTCCACACCACTTCTCTTGCCCTCAGATATTACCTCTGAGGTAAGATATACACATGCACCCAGGCCTCGCTGAAGCCAATAATATGCATTATCAACTGCATGTTAGAAACACCCAAGGAACTTTTAAAACCCCAATGTTCAGGCTACATCTGACCCAGTTAAGTCAGAGGCCCTTGGACTGGGCCAGCAAATCATAAGTTTATAAACTCCTCAGGTGATTCTAATGTGCAGTGCTGAGAAAGATTGAAAGGAAATGCCATTCTTGGCGTAGAGGAATGAAAATATGGTCATGAATTGAACACAGGTCAGGATTTAAGGAATTCCTCGCCCTGCCTGAGGTCAGCAGTGTGACCTCCCCAGGCCTGAGGTCACAGTTAACCCCGAATACCTCTATCTATCAGGCATTACAGTAGCACTCCAAGTACACTTTCATACTAAATCCTTAACCTTTTGTGGTAAGTACTATTAATAGGCACATCTTACAGAAAAGGATGCTATGTTTTAGACAGGCGAGCAATTGTTGGCCCATATTCCCCCAGGTAGAACGTGGAGATACAATTCCAACTCAGGAGCCCATGCTGTCTTGAGAGAAATCTGCCCTTGTTCAACACATTTTTCACTTGATGTCAACCACATGCTGCTCATCTACCAATATTTCCTTGCTCTGCAATAATTCGGGGACATGAGAACAGATAATACATAAGAAGAAGTGTTTCCTGCTATTAAGAAGAAATGCATTTCTTAAATTCCAAAGGGTTGTCATTTTACTTCTGTGAGAAGAATAGTTTTAGAATTGCCTTCTCAGAAATTAAGTCATGTATTCATTTTTTTATTGTAAGGCTGATAGCTACTGAGATACAAAATTAGCATAGTGATGGTAGGACTGGAAAGAAGGAGATGGATTCCAAAGCTATTTAGAAGATATAATATATTGAAATGAGACAATAATTGGATTTGAGAGACCAGGGAAAGACAGGAGAATTCCTTGTCAGCCAATCTGGATTGTTGGGTAGATGGAGATGCCACTGAGAGAGCCACAGAGACAGGAGGATAAGTATTTGGAGAGAAGGAGGGGAGGAATAGTTTGTTTATATTGAGTGACAGGTGTCTTCAGGACATCCAGGTGGATTGGGGGGTGGTGGGAACCATCAGTGTCTCTGGGTGGAACTGGAGCTATTGCCATGGGAGATACCAGTGAATACATTATTTAATTTTATCTCTGCTCCAGGCAAGCTCCAGGGTAGTTCTGCTTCTAATAGTAGAGCAAATGCAACGTAAATTAATAGTTAGGTCATAGACCTTGGAGTCAGACTTCCTGAGTTTGCATGGGGCCTGTCCACTGACTAGGTGTGTGCCCTTGAATTGTGTAACCTCTCTATGGGTCTCTTTGTCCCATTGTAAATGAAGACAAATAGTGAGAATATCTCATGAGCTTGGCATGACAATTAAATGAGAAAATAAATACAAAACCCTTAGAAAAAGTGCCTTCCCTGTAGCATGCAATACACATTAGTTATTATTACTGTGTATGATAAGAGGAACCTAAATGAGAGGGATGTGACATGCTATAGGAGTGGTACAACAGGAATTTTCCTGTCATAGAAATCAGGGGGATCTTTCTGGAGGATGTGACCCAGGAGCTGGAGATATGTGGAGCATGAGTTGTGTTTAGATTCATGAATATTTGTGCAGCATGAGCTGAAGCCCAAAGTTGGGAGGCAGGATGTGGGCGGCACTCACATGTACCAGACACTTTGCAAGCATCCTCTGTGATGCTCTCAAGGCTTCATATTGTCTCTTTCAGCTTGCACCACAGCCCTCTGAGGGCAAAATAAAACACCAACTTCATGGGCCAGGAAATTGAGTTCAGAAATGCTTAAAAAAAAATCTTGCCCCAGAAAACACAGTCAGTAAATAGTAGAGTCAAAATCTCCAATAATATGCTTTTCAGGCCTCTCCAGGCTGGAAAATCTTGGTGAACAGTGGGAAATTTAATGGAGAAAGGAAACTGGAGAGAGATAACTGGAATCACACACTAGCATCTGATCAGGCAAGCTTAGTATGTCCCTTGAATGTTCTTCAAGAGTCAATGCAAAGCCATTGAAAGAAGTGTTTTAAGCTACTTTAAAAAGTAAAGATTGTTAAACTGGCAGCAGGTTTTGGGATGATTTGATGTAGGAAAATTCTAAAGACAAGGGGTCAAGTTGGCAAGCTTCTGCAATAATCCTGGCAAGAGCGACAGGACTGACTTTAAGGGCAGAGGCACTAGAAATGAAAAGGAAAAGTGGAGACAAAAATGTGTCACAGAGAGGCAGAGTAAGATGTGAAGACAGTGCACAAAAGAGGCAAAGGAGGCAGGTGTTCATGATGACCAAGATTTTGAGCCTGGGTTCCCTGAAGGACAAAGGGGATTTATCAAAACTGATCTTGATGATTCTGTGACTGCTGAAGAAACA